GGCCGGTGCCTTTCCCAGGGCCCCTCCAGGGGGCTGAGCAGAGACGGGCTGGCACGGCGGTGGCCCGGCACCAGCAGGCCCTGCTCTCCCTTGGGAGAGGGCCCCGTGGCCGGGAGGCGAGAGGCCTAGGGTTCCCACGGAGGGGGGGCCGGAAGCGCCGGGTTCACCGATCCATGCTGTCGTCCGTGGGGCTGGAGAAGCAGGTCTGTAGCAGCTTTTCGCAGAACTCCAGCTCCTCCTGGATCAGGGGCAAGAGCGGGCGCCCTGAGTGCCGAGGCCGGGCCCTGCCTCTAAACCCCCCACCCAAGACCGCTCCTCTTCGCTGCTCGGCCCCTGCTGGCCGAAGCCTCCCGGGTTCTCCGACCTCTGCTCAGATCCCCGGCTCCCTCTTTCTCTTCTCACCCACATCTGGACTCCTGAACTGGACCCCAGGGTCTCCAGCCTCTGGTCACCCCCCACTGGTCTGTCCTCCCATCAGCTCACTCAGGCTCTAACTCCCTGACACCACTCACCCTCCTCATCCCACTGAGAACCCCTCCCCCGGACACAGACTCCAGAAGCCGGGAAAGCAAGCACTGAAGGGCTGGACGCAGAAACATACAAGGTGTCTGCCCGGCACCGAGATGCCGGAAACAGAAAGGAAAGAGAACCAAGTTGGCGGTAAAAATAATTGCGACTCATCACACCGGGATAACGTGGTTGCGGATGTGCATGAGCAGTTAACAAGAAAGGAAAAAGAGGCCCAACCTCACTCGGGAGAAACGCAAATGGCAGCTGGATCCACCCATCAGCTTGGAAAAAGGCCCAATGGTTTGGGGCCAGCCTGGCCAGGCCGCTGGGGACCCTTGTGGCTGCACATGGACCAGTGCAACCTCCAGGGAGAGCAACTGGGCAGCCCTGTAACCTCACCTTTTGTTGTTGTTAATCCTCACCTGAGGGTATTTTCCCATTGATTTTTAGAGAAAACGGAAGGGAGAGGAGAGACAGAGAGAGAGAGAAACATTGATGTGAAAGACAGACATCGACTGGTTGCCTCCAGAGAGCCAGGGTTCGAGCCTGCAGCTGAGGTGGGTGCCTTTTGACCGGAATCGAATTTGGGACCCTGCAGTCCGCAGGCCGATGACCTAGCCACTGAGCCCAACTGGCTGAGCGTAACTTGACCTTTATGGCACTTTAACTCGGCCTCTCCCTTCCTAGAACTTTGTTCCGTAGACATACACATAGGAAGCAAGAGGTTCTTTTGTGAGCAGCGTTAGTGCTCAGAGTGTGGAAACATGTCCGTCCAGAAGGGCAGCGACAGGAGGGGAGGGAAGAGTGTGCACCTGAGACGCCAGGAGAGGGGCGAGGCCAGCAGCACACGGCGCTCAGGACACGATCATGGGCAGCACGCGGGGAAGGAAGGAGAAGTCACAGGCACGTGTGCTGGTCTGTGCACAGAGCACCTCGGAAGCCACACGCCCCGAGAGAGGTGGGGAGCTCAGGACAGGCTGTGCTCATCGCCTATCTGCAGCTGTTATCGATGTAAATACCTGAGCTGCTACCACATGTTACTTACTACCCATACAATTAACTATCTAATGAGCTACCACTGATTTCTTATCTATTTCACTGGCTCCTGAGCTTGATCACTGTTATCTAATATCTAAGAAGTTCTTTACCATGGACTTGTTACTTCTCTATTTAATTCAAGATTTAATTGGCTGCTACTTATCATTTACTTATTGATCTAATAATTATTAAATACTTGAATACGATGTAAATAACGTGGATAGTGATTAATGAGTTCGTTAGCCCTTTAAGAAATTTGAGAGTCCCTCCTGCTCCCTGGGACAGTGTGAGGCACATGGGAGGTGGCAGGGGTGTTGGCTGCACAGGTGATGGGAGAGACGTGAATGAACATGAACAGCGTGGAGAACAGACCCGGAGGCGGAGGGCGGAGGCAGAGGGCGGGAGGGCGGCCCACCTGGTACTCCTCGTGCTGCTGCAGCAGCTGGCAGCGGTGCCGGAGCAGCTCCTCCAGGCCCAGCTCCGGCTCCCGGCACTCCCGCACGCCCTGGGGGAAGTCCGTCACCAGGCTGCGGGCACAGGACAGCAGTTCTTGGCACCTCCCTCCACACACACACACACACACACGCCCTGGCGGCCAGGGAAAGACAGTGCCCCACACCAAACCCCAGTTTCCCCCGCTGCAAAGCGGATCTCATGGGACTTGCACAAAACAGGGCACTGAGCACAGGGCCTGGCTGGGGCCGCTGCCCGCCTGCTTGGCTGCCCCATCCTGTCATTTTCAGACGCTGATTCACTTGGACCGTGGCGGGTGGGGGATGAAAGAGAGCCGCCCTCCCCACCTCCGTGGGCTGCTGCGTCACTGCCCTTACAGGTGAGGAAACAGGCTCGGAGAGGGCCAGCACTCCCCAGGGGAAGCCCCACACTCCTGGGACCCAGGAAAAAGGAGGCCGGAGCCCAGTGGTGCATTCCGGGAGGGGGGCACCCGCCCCGGAAGGTGCTCCCTCGGGGCCCGGCGCACCTGCACAGGGCTCCAAGCACGTGCTCGTGGAAGGGGCTGTGTTCTGTCCGGACGAGGGCCACCAGCTGCTGGACCATCCCCATGGAGCACAGCGTCCCTGGGGGAAGGACTCGGGGTCAGAGGGCGCCCCCCGACTCTGTGCACTCCCTGCCCCCACCACCATCCTCCAGGACCATCCCAGCCCCTGCCCTGGCCACCCCACCTTTGTGTTCTGGGTGGCCCACCAGCAGGTTCTGCAGCAGGAAGGCTGACTTGACCTTGAGCTTTTGCACCTGCTGCTGCATGGCCCGCATCAACACCGAGAAGCCGTCCAGCCGGAGGAACTGCAGCAACCCAGCCTCCTGCTCCCGGACGAGGCCTGGGGAGGGGAGAGAGGATGGGCCTCAAAGTCACAGTGACCATCATCACCATCATCATCATCACCATCATCATCATCACCACCATCACCACCACCACCACCATCATCATCACCATCATCATCGCCATCATCAATTTTTACGGGCCTGTGCTTCACAAGCATTATCTTTTCTTAAAGGTATATAGATTTTTAAATCTATTTTTATTGATTTCAGAGGAAGGGAGAGGGAGAGAGAGAGAGAAACATCAACGATGAGAGAGAATCACTGATTGGCTGCCCCCTGCACACCCGCCACTGGGGATCAAACCCAAAACCTGGGCATGTGCTCTGACCGTGAATCAACTGTGACTCCTGGTTCATAGGTTGATGCTCAACCATGGAACCACGTTGGCCGGGCTTAAAGGTGTATTTTCACTGATACAATTAAGCCATTTAAAGAAAACTGTCCATCTGTCCCCTACCAGGCTCTGGTCGTGGTACCTCCGGGGCACCAAGTCCCTCTGACAGTCCTTCCCCGCGGGGCTGCCCCGGGCCTGTCTGTCCATCTGTCTCCCTATTTTTGGATGTGACTTTCCAAATGCCGTCTCCTCCAAGACTCTGTCCCTCGCCCTCGCCAGAACTCCTTCCTCCCTCCAGAAGCTCCTATCCACGCCTCCCCCACCTTATCCCAGGGAACATAATAAACATACAGTGGGGCCTTGACTTACGAGTGTCCCGACTAACGAGTTTTTTGAGATACCAGCTGTCTCTCGGCTGATTTTTTGCATTGAGTTGACAGAGTAATTTGAGTTAACGAGCTCCGGAACGAATTAAACTCGTAAGTCAAGGCCCCACTGTAATTGGTCTCTGTCCTCCACTCCTGACACCGAGTCCCCAACTCCCTTGGAATTTCCTGGTGATAGGAGCATCTTTTCTTCTTTTTAAATGTTTTTTAAAATTGACATTAGAGAGAGAGAAACATCGGTGTGAGGGATGCATCAATTGGCTGCCTCCCTCATGCACCCTGACAGGGATGGAATTCGCAACCTAGGTATGTGTCCTGACGGGGAATCGAACCCACAACTTCCCGGTACATGGGACAACGCTCCAACCAACGAGCCACCCCAGCCAGGCGAGCCTCCTTCTTCTAATGATGTGGCTCTGGGTGGGCTCCAGGATGAGGACGGGTCCCCAGAAAGACCAATCCACACCAGAAACTGAAACCAGCCCCGCCCACAAGCTCCAGCGAGAGGACCATCAACAGGCGGAGGCTGAGAACCCGATGGCACCGTCACATAAGCTGAGTGACAGCCCTGGGTCCCTAGGACCTGGCTCTCCGACCGGCAGGAGGTCGGCAAACTCACCACCCTGTTCCCAGCACCCAGCACAGACCCTGACAGGTACTGGGGGTGAATGAACAAAGGAGGCCCCGCTCCCTCTGCCCCCAGCAGATCCCTACAGGGCCCGCCTCCCGGGCCAGCTCCAGGCCGTGGGGACCCAGGCCCCTCCCCCGCAGCCCGGACACTCACAGGAGATGGCGAAGAGGGCCTTGACGCGCACCGAGTCGCAGGGGTCCCGGTCGAGCAGCCGCAGCAGCTTGCGCAGGGCGCCCAGGCCCAGCACCTGCTCCTGGATGGCCGCCACGTTCTGGCTGCACGTGCCAATGAGCTGGGCCGCCCGCCACCGCAGCCCCGCGGGCCCCGCCTCCAGGTACCGGCCCACCAGCAGGTGCATGCCCGACAGCTGGCAGAAGTCTGTGCCGCAGAGAGGGGGGGAGCCAGTGTTACGGCTGAGCTGTGCCAAATCCATTCCTTGAAGCCCTCCCCCCCAGTGCCTCAGAATGTGCTCTATCTGGAGATGGGGCCTAAGATAGGTGCGTAAGGTGACATGACATCACTGGATTGGCCCCATATGGCTGGTGCCCTTACAAGAATAGGACACGGATACCCCAGGGGGAGACCATGTGAGGACACGGGAGGGGACAGCCATGTGAAAGCCAAGGAGAGGGGCCTCCGAAGCAGCCAGCCCTGCCGACACCTTGATCTTGCACTTCCAGCCAGGGATCAAGCCTGCAACCCGGGTATATGCCAACTGGGAACTGAACCCTGACCTCCTGGTTCATAGGTCAACACTCAACCACTGAACTACGCCTGCTGGGCCGCGTCTGCTGTTTAAACTGCCCAGCCCGTGGTCCTTTGTTACGGCAGCCAGAGCAAACCAGCACTCCAGGTGAGGCCGGAGGGGCAGGCCGGCTCCCTGGGACCTGCCGACCTGTGCTGGCTCTCTCCAGCACCAGCGGGGTCCCTCCCAGGTCGCTGTGTCTCCACAAAATCAGCATGTGGGGGTTAGGCCCCAGGCTCCAGCCTGCGAAATGCCAGCGCTGACCCCCACACACCCTACAACCAGCACAGCACCTGTGGAAGAACCACACATGGGGCCGGGGTTGGCAAGCCACGTTTGTGTAGAGCAGGTGGTACTGGGGAGAGAGTTACCCAGAGTCACCAATGGCCACTCCTAGGTATACCCCCCAGGCCTCGAGCGCGGGGCTCAGGCAGAAACTCGGACCCCCGCGTCCACAGCAGCAGAATTCACAACAGCCAAAGGGGACACGCCCCAGGCGCCCGTGGCCGGCGCTCTCCATCCACACCATGGGGCACCAGCCGCCCAAAGGAATCAAGTTCAAGGTCGGCAACAACCTGGAAGGACCCTGAACACTTCACACTGGATGGGGAAGGCCACGTACGCCATGAGCTGCAGCCCAGCCGCACACGCGCTGAGGAGGCCAGGCAGGAGGGGACCAGGAGGCAGCGGGTGGCACCG